TATATATATATATATATATATATATATATATATATATAGGCTAGATCTAGGTTCTATAACCATTTGGGACTCTTAAGGCATGCCACCTTAGTGGCACCACCCTTTCACAAAGTGGGCTGGGTGTGCCTCCTTTCTTACCTTTAGATGAGCATGCTACCCCAAGTGTGCTTGAGTAATGGGTGCCACCACTTAGAGAGAGACTAGAGAGAAGAGAGACAAAGATAGAGAAAGACATAGAGGATAGAGGGGAGAGAGCGAGAGGGTGAGAGATCAAGTGGTTAGAATAAGGAGGGCTACCCTCTATTTATAGCTTCAAGGGTCCAAATATGCCTATCTAAAATAGAATTCCACTTGGCCATAGGACTCCTAAGTATACTGTGAGGTTGAGAAAAAAATAAATATGAACCATTCATCCCAAAAATCAGTCATCATAATTTAGGGAGGAATCTAGGAACCTTATCCCCTGATTCATTGACCCACATCCATTTCTAGTCAACCTAGGATAAAACAAATCAAATCTCATCTATTCTATTTTGACTAGAATTTCCTTTTCTCACACAAAAAGATTATTACAAATTCGAACTCATAAAGATTTTGTCAAATTCAAAGTCAAAAGAATATTTTTCAAACATAAACATCTATAATTCCACAAAATATGCTCAAAAAATCTTTCTCGAGGATTTTCTTAAGATTCCTCTAACAAAATCTCTTTTATTAAAAAAAAAACACAACATTTAAATAACGACACATGATCACCATGTGGGGAATGTGGCCCTAATGGGACCCACATCCTACTCCACGTGGGGCCCCCAACGTGTGGGTGCTGAACGCTTGTCCCCTCCATGTGGGTCCTACTCAACCCCAACAAAAATAAAAATTATAAAATACCCTTTTTAGGGTTCAATTTATTGTTGAAAAAAGATTTTAAAAATTCCAAAAAATTCTAAAGATCACACAAACATTTCTTAAGCTAAAAACAAAATTTCTAGAAGTGGAATGATACCAATGTGTCAAGAAAAAGTGGCTGTCAGAACACTCCACCCAACACAGTAACCATGATCATCAACTAACTTCTCAAACCAACCCAACTAGACCCATAATCCACAGTCTCATGCAGAGGCTCATGATTAGTCTGTCAAAACTAACCAATAAATAGTAGAATCATGGTCCTGGTATGTGGATTACAGGTCCCCCCGCCTCCCTAAGAGTAAGTGACACGCACATATCACCACAGTGCAAAGAGGACTCTCTCTATGCACATGTATACATATCCCTTTATAAGGTTTCTTCCTGGAATATAGTTCTCATGCATACATGTTGTGTGGAAGTTTACTGAGGATTTAGCCCATGCTCTCACAGGCCTACAACGGCACTTAGGAGACCATAAGGTTCACCTAGCCAAAAAACCACCTAACCATATTCCCAGGATAAGGGTTTTAGACATAAGGTTCTCATAAGTAGTGCCATATTCCCAAGATAAGGGTTTTAGATATAACCAGAGTCATAAACCACCTACCCCAAGTTAGTCAACCACCACACATACGCCAACTGAAGTGCATAATCCACCATAATTTTTTATTACATGCTTTCACGGGTTTTAAAGGCCACAAAACCCCAACAAAAGCAACCCTATTCAACATGTAATTTCGGAAATTTTCATTTTTCTGTTAGTTTTTTGAATTTTTCTCTGATTTGTCCTTTTCCTTAGATTTTCCTACTTTCACTTTTCCTTATTTTTCAGTATTTTTTTCTCTATTCTCTTCAACCTAAGCAAGACTGAATCGGGTCAGCTCAATACTCTGTGAGTTGACCTAGACTTGGCCCTGTCTGTTCCTAATGTAAGTCCGTGTTTTTGAACATTGGTGTATATAATAAGTTTTGTCTTATAAACTCGTGCATGGCTGGTAGAGTGGTAGAGCTTACTATGTCACTTCATGATGCAGCCCAGAATATTGCTATCGCGTATCTAGATAATTGAGATAATCTTAACGTTTATAAGAGGAACCACAAAAGGGCAAATTAGTCATTGACTCTATCCTTTTATGTCTTTTATTTATTTCTGGAGTCATTTTTATTTACTTTGAGGCATAATTAGTAATTCTAGAGCTTTTTATGTCTTTCTATTCACTTTAAGTCTTTGATAATAAATGCCCATGATTAGTGTAGATGGATGGCCATGATTAATTCTTGTTTAGGGTTTTCTTATAAAAGGATGTACACAATGATGGATAATATTATGGACTTTTATTCAAAACCCTTGAGCAACAAGTGCTTCTTCTTTTATCTTTGGTTTTGCATATGTCTCTATTTTGAATCTTCCGTATCTTCTTCTTTGCAAAAAACCCTAGCTCAAGGTACTAGATCTACGCCAGGTTGGTATCAGAGCATGACGATCCGTAAGGATGACACTGTAGCATGGCACTGTACGGTACTTGTAGCAAGTTATTATAGTAAGGTATTGTAGCATCGATTTTTTTGCCCTAATCAACAACAATGCCTCCATGAAGAGGAAAAGGAGGAAAAGAGCACCATAGAAGCCTTTGATGCTAGTTCCCAAGAAGGGATTGCAGATCTGAGAAAATTGGTCGAAACCCTAGCTCTATGTTTGGCAGATATGGAAGCCCCATCTCAAAGGATAAGATCGAGGCAGATGAGGAATCCATAAATCTCTTCCATAATCAAGCTCCAAGGAGAGAGGTAGTTGATAGTACAGATAGGGATAGTAGAAGATGGTAAACCAGTCTCAAGGTTGAGATTCCAAAGTGTTATGAAAGTTTATCCGAGGACAACCAGAAGCCAAGTAGTTGATAGTACAGATAGGGATAGTAGAAGATGGTAAACCAGTCTCAAGGTTGAGATCCCAAAGTGTTACGAAAGTCTATCCGAGGACAACCATGAAGAAACTTCGTTCTTATCAAATGGTTCTCAAAATCAGCATGTTATGGATTGAGACTTACCTTCAGTCCTTGAACAACTATCTAGATGAAAATTTAGGTGTTGAGAAAGAAGTGGGTGATCATAGTCTTAATGGTTATCTAATCTTTAGCAAGGAACCTTTTGATGGAGATAATGATCTTTGATAGTGATCCTAACTTTGATGAGGGTCCCATTTTTTATGATGATTTGATGGGTGACTATCTCTATGGAGAACAACAAGGCGAAGAAAAGGAGGATAAAGGAGATCAAGGTGGAAAAAGATGTTGTTTTACTTGATGTTTTACCTGAATATGGAGTATCATGTGATGTGTGCTCCAAGGGTTTGGTGATATTTTCCTTTGAGTATTTTGCTAGTGAGTTCGAAATAGAAGGTAGCTATCAAATGGTAGCTTATGTGATTCCTAATGTTGGAGTTCTGCTTCAACCATTATTTTGTTTTGAGTGGAAAACCTAATGACTGTGCACATTGAAGGAAATCACGGGGATAATGCATCATTAATCTTGAGCCGCATTAAAATTCGTCGTAGAATATTCTACGAAGTGTTCAGGACCGAGTGTGTTGTGCTTATGTACTACAAGTATGGCAATTCTCAATGGACCCAAAGTATGGTTACTCAAATGTCTATGGGGAATGCAATAAAACGGCACGTCTTGATCTGAAGTCTTGTCAAGGTAGGACCATTCAAAATTTTGAAGAAGATCAATGACAATGCCTATCAGTTAAAGCTATCAACCAATATTCACACTTCTGATGTTTCTAATGTCAAGCATCTCATTCCATATCTTGGTGATACCTCAGACGACGAGCTGTCGAATTCGAGGGAAAATTCTTTTGAGGAAGGATGGACTGATGCAAGCCAGAATACTACTCTTGAGTATCTAGACAAGAGAGAGAGAAGCTTAAAGTTTACAAGAGCAACTACAAACGGGAAAATTCGTCATTGAATCTATCCTTTTATGTCTTTTATTTATTTCTTGAGTCTTTTTTTTTTGGGGGGGGGGGGAGGCATAAGTAGTAATTTCTAGAGTTTTTTATATCTTTCTATTCACTCTTCTATAATAAATGGTCATGATTAGAGTAGATGGATGGATAGGATTAATTCTTGTTTAGGGTTTTCTTATAAAAGGATGTACTCAAGAACAATGATGGATAATGTTATGGAGTATGGACTTTTATTCAAAACCCTAGAGCAACAAGTGCTCTTTATATCTTTGGTTTTTGCATATTTCTCTAATTTTGGATCTTCCCTATCGTCTTTGCAAAAAAACCTAGTTCAAGCTAGTAGGTCTGCGCCTCCTCAAGATGTCATAAGTGAAGTCATGTTTCACACAGATGTTGTGTTGCTGGTGGAATGGTAGACCATACCGCTCCTCGATGGAGGTCCTAAGTTTCAACTCATGCATGAAGTTTCATATAACATTTCTTGAAATCCATGTCTGGAAGTGTCTTAACACATTTCAACATGCAGCAATAGAGAAAAGATGGAGTGTTACATGCAACTGAATTAGGAGGATGTTTTCGATATGAAACTCTTAGATCATCTCTTATTCACCTTGTGAAACAATTCAAAAAACAAAAAATGCTTTCAAGCTCTATGAACCCTTGATATCATAAAATTTGCATGTTTCATAGAGGTTCGTTGCTGCCACAGTGGTAGACTGTACCACTCTGCACCAAGAGGTCTTAAGTTTAAACTCAGGTACAAGTTTCAAATAAAATATATTGATACTATGTCTAGAAGTGTCAACACGTGTCAACATGCAACATTAGAGAAAAGATTGGAGTGTTGGGATAACACTAAGTTAGAGGGATTTCATCAAAAAAAAACACTAAGAGGGATGTTTCCGATCTTTGGAAATTTTCAGATCATCTCCGCTTCACCTGGTGAACAATTCAAAGAAATAAAAAATAAGCTTTTGTTCTCTTAAAACCCTAGAACTTCATCACTCAAATAGACAGTTCAGAGTTAGTTCGAGGGGGAACTGAGTTGGAGTATTTTTTATCACCAAATCACCATCGTTTTTCTAATGGAACTGATCTTGAGGGTGTCTAAAAATGATATGAAAGTTTTTGTATCGAATAGACCCCCTTAACTAATGATTTGGAGGACTCGAACATGGGTTACAGGTAGTCAAGCTAATAACCTAACATGCATCCATGTGTGTGTGTATGTGTGTCTGTGCATTCATTCAATGCTCATATTAATGCAAGTTAATCAATATAGGGAAAGCAAGAAGGCATATTACCTGCATCCCACATTCAATGGAAATTGTACGAGACGTGGATTCACCAAAAGATGATAACCTTGAAAGCCAATACCCAAGAGCAAATGCAGCTATATGAAGGAGAGCTACAGGAAATATAAGTTGGGTTCCTTGGACCTTCAAGACTTCTGACACTTGTCCAATCTTGGCAACAGGTACAAAAGAAAATCAGCTCCAAAAATAGAATATTGTCAAAAAATGTAATCGAAGAACGAGGACTACAATCCAACTGGGATACTGGAAAAACATAGAACATGGTTATCACAATCCACTTGAATGATGGAAGAGAGTGCTAGCCACCTTGAGCACAAGTCCTATTCTGCAGTGTCCCGCACCTCACCATCCATAATTTCAATGAATGGTGATCATCCCAACGAACTTCACTGTTTATAGTTCATTGGGTTCGACACAATTTCAAATTCCAGCAATCAACAGAATAGACCTCATGATCAAACACAAGGTCCATGGTGTAACTCTCTCTCTCCCTCCCTACCTACCTCCCTGCCTCTCTCTCTCTCTCTCTCTCTCTCTCTCTCTCTCTCTCCTCTCCTCTCTCTCTCTTCCTCTCTCTCTCTACTACTCTACTCATCT